CCCCAAAACCCCAAAACCCCAAAACCCCATATGGAAAATATTCCAAAAACTTGAGATCTATAAGAAAATTAAGTGGATTATTAAAATATGTTAAATAATCAATCAATCTCCATTTAATTATTCACTCTTAATGCTTGAGGACAATTCATCTGAATCAATAAATTCTTTTTACTAATAAGATTGCTGCTAATTATTTTAAACTTCATGAGATTTAATCTATTTTCTTTAGCATTTTTTAAGAGTTGTAATAATCTCATGCATCATTACATGATGACTCTAGTAAGTGAAATCAACATGACTAAATCCTTCAAACAACTTCATGTGAGCCAAATTCTTCTAATGCTTTTTAAGAGTGTGGTAATGTTCCACAATATCATCTGCCCTAATCAAGGTATCATTTAGAGAAATAAAAAAATGAATTGGAATATCTATCAAATGATAATGATCAAGATAGTTAAAAGGCTTTTCAGTGCCATACATAGCTATATTTTTTTTCTTGCCAAAATCAAAAGCCTAGAACTTATTTTATTTCCAATTAGTGTAAAAGTGTATTCCAAGATCTCTAGAAAAACCAAATTATAGAAATGATTAAACAATTTTAGCACTTTTCCAAACTGGAGAATCTCCAATTTTATTTCCCCCAAGAGTTGAAGAGGAGATAAAAGTGAAAAGATCACGAGCTGCAGGAAGCCCTCTAAGGTCTCTATGTATTTTCTGGAATACAGAAACTACTGACTTAGGGATTGCAACATGTGAAATAAGTTTGGCTAGAATATGAGTGAAAATCCACCCTGTTATACCCACTTCAATAGGTGCATTAGTGTGAATTCCAGCAGGCGAGAGTAAAATAGCATTTGTTAAGTAATGTGGCCTCTGTCTTATTCTTTGATTTATTATATACATTGGTAGAGTCATGCCTCCTAGTGAGTGACCAACATATGTAATTGTTAGTCTGCTCTCTATATCTTTAATTATTTCCTCTTCACTAAGCTTTGATATTTTTATATAAGTCGCCATTAGTTCTTTTATTTTTATATCTCTTATTTTCTAGATAAAAGCTTAAACATCATATTTAGCAAGTTCATCTAGGCTATATTCCCAATAAGATTTAGGATCTTTTCCCTTAACAAGCTTTCTCGGATAGACACCTCTAAAATTCCCCATGAAGACATCAAATCCAGATTCATGAGCTTAGTAAGCTATACTATCAGAAGGACCATGAACAACCCACGTCAAACTATTATCAAGTACACCATGCTAGAAATATACAGCATTATAAGACTCCTTATTGCAAATTCTATTCATATTAATTATATACCCATCTTCAGTCTCAACTTCTATCTCTTAGTACTCATATCCACTTTGTGTGATCATTTATTTTATAGTTTACTTATCAAGATTGTTATTAATCATGTTGAATGTGCTGAAATAATACTTGTAGACATATTCTTTCATAAAGTAAGCAGTCTAAACTTTGATGATTTTTGGAATGAGCGGAATGCTCATAAAAGTTTTTTAGAGACTAAAAGAAAAAACTGCAATCATAGTTTTCTAGACTATTCTCTTAAGTTTTCTAAAAAATTTCTTGTCTGACACTCTAATATCCCCAAGGTCTTAAGATGTACTCAAGAAGTTTTATCCCTTCCTTGCTAGAATCTTAAGAGTCAGGCAAAATTAATCGATTGAGAGTTAGATAATTAATTAGAAATCCTCAAGGAATCCTGTTGTAACTTAATCAGGTGTAATTATTACCTCCGATAGAATGGTATTCTATTATTTAATTTCACCACCCTCATTTATTCTTTAATTTATACTGCTAAATACTCATTAATCTCCAATGAACTTTTCAACAACATTAGCATAGACATATTAAACAGGGTCCTAGTTTGAAGCAATGATTTTATATATTGTAGGAACCCATAGAGATATTCCAGCTACTATAGATTTCATACTTCTCTACACTATATTCAATAGCACTTAAGACTTTGATTCTCTTTTAGCATTTTTCTCAAAGTAAGTTTTGACATATTACGCTATCTCAGTATTGACATGACTTTCATCGACGGAAAAGGAACCTAATCTCTTATATCTGCTCTCATTTAATTTATTTATGATTGATCCATTTTTGTTATTTTCAAGCTTTGTTCCTTGATTGAATTATGGATCAAATTAGTTTTATACAAGACTTTTATTTAGATATATTTGCAAGAATTTGTCTTTAGTATTTGCTCTTAGATCCATATCATCATTAACAGGAGATAGGTTATTAATACTCACATCTTTTTTATTTTTCTTATCTTTACTCTTAAATCTATTCTTTCAATGCTAATAGTAGCTCACCATCTATAAAAATAGAATTATATATTGCTGATGAAAATGAATATTGTGGAGCAAATATTATTACATCACGACTTTATGTTATATGAAGAATTGCAGCACATATGCCGTCAATAGACTAGGAAGAAAAGTGAAACATTTCCCTGACAATGCTTTTGCATAGCTCGCTGGATGAATCAAATATACTGTCATATTTATCATGATGATAATGATTATTATCCTTTGGTTTGTCGTGTTATTACGACTACAAGAAATGATGTGACGTTTTATTAAAAGATTAGTTTTATTATTTTTTGTGACCAGCCTATATCATTTAAATTTCTTTATTAATTTAATACAAATTTATTTACCTAATATGATTTACAGTTATCACCTGGGGTTTTGGGGTTTTGGGG